ACATATGTTCATCAGAGTATACCAGCGAAGACGAGTTAATACAAGGAGAGAGCGAGAGCACAAAACTACTCTAGAAAATTAAACGATAACGCCATTACAGAAAGCCATAAACATAGCTACCGTTGGTTAAATTTGGTGAAATCTTGCCCTAGATTGCACCGTTTGTGGGCGTGTTGAATGGATTTGTGTCTTGGTTGTATGAAAGATTCTAAAATTTTGATTTTCTGGCAAGTTGTACAACTCGTCGCTGCATTAATTGCCATGTTGTACGAAGTCATTATTGTTTTGCGTTTATTTCGTTCACTGAATAACCCAGAATGGATAACTCAGCCGAAATAAGTACGCGCTTTTGTTGAATTTTATAAATCTAAGCCGAAACTACGAAATTGAAAAAATAAGATTTTACTATGAGATTACTCGCAAAATTGTAACGTTTGTGGGCAAAACGTCCAGTTTGATCGCGGATCGAGCTGAACCAATGATCGCAACGTTCAAGGCTTCCATTATGCCATAATTATGTGTTTGTTGTAATTCATGTTGTCATTTACTACCATTATGCAGAGGCCCATTCATGAAATCATTTCATGCGTTTGAGTAGAAACTGAGTGCATTAACACCATTTCACTATTTCAATTAAACGCGAAATGGAGTTCACGCACTGAGTTTTTACTCAAATTCATGAATTGATTTCGTGAATAGAAACGTGATACAGTGAAACCTCCCTTGGGCGGACACTCACCGTCAGTCATTTTTTGTCCGCCCAAGAGAGGTGTCCGCTCAATGGAAGGGAAGCTTATTTTAGAACTTTTTAATGTTTTAATTAATTGAATAGTCACTATTTCTTATTTGAATAAAAGATATTGATATTACATCGTTCAAACAAAAATGTGTATGTATTTTTTCAAAAGTGCATATTTCATTTATGTGCGTAAATACATATTAAGTAATAACAAAATAAAAATAAATATTACATTTCAGTCCATAAACTGCATGAAACCATAGATTGATTACATAAAAAACTGGGAAATTGTCGATTGACGTAAGTTTTATGTTTAATTTTTTCAGTGTCAGTACCTTTTTCATCAATAGTTTTCATGTTTTTATCAGTAACAAAATCCGATCAGAAATCAAAATTTTCGGTTCATGTATTTATTATTATGTATTGTTATAAATTGATCAGAATTGGAATTGGATTCTCCAAGGGTTTCTGATAATTCAAATAACGAACCTAAACCACTGCGCAAACCAAACTAAATGTGGGCATAAAAATCACATTTTATGCGGGAATTCCCCTTTTTCCATTTAGTAGTCCGCCTATGAGGAGTTCGCGTCCGCTCNAATAACGAACCTAAACCACTGCGCAAACCAAACTAAATGTGGGCATAAAAGTCACATTTTATGCGCGAAGTCCCCCTTTTCCATTTAGTAGTCCGCCTATGAGAAGGTTTTTGTTTGATTTGTTATGAAAAGAAATCTTAATGTCCGTTGATAAGAGGTTCGCGTCCGCTCAATAGAGGTTTTTGTATAAATTTTATGCAAAATAACTGTCCGCGTCCGGCCAAGAGAGTGTCCGCTTAAGAGAGAGCAATTTGTTCCGAAATTTATACTTAAAACTTGGTATAGGAAAAAATGTCCGCCCAAGGGAGATGTCCGTCTAATAGAGGTGTCCGTTAGGAGAGGTTTCACTGTATTTGTACGTATAATTTGTAAGGCAATTTTATGTTTTTATACTCTTGCTACCACATGAATATATGAATTCGTGATAAGAATATTTTAAATCGCCTTGGAAGATAGAAAGCGACTAAAAATAAATGCCGAACAAAGAAATTTGTCTTCTTTCAACTTAAATACATAAAAACATTTTAAAACAAAAGTGCGAACGTTACTTAGTGCTTGGTTATAATGCACGGGGCAAATCGTACCAAATCGCGGCGAATTCGTAATAATTTATTGATTGCATTATACACATTTGCATTTATTTGTTAAACATACAATTGATAATCACGTGACAGTTCACTCCGTTCAGTTACTTCCAATATAACATATAAAGAAATGTTGTTTGCTGCTCAAATAACCCAACCGCGTATGCAATTTCTTAGGCTTTCTTGTCTTTATTCAATTTATCAAGAACAGACTAGATACACGTGCTTACTCTCAGTGGTTTGACCAGAAAAAAAGGAAGTTAGAAACTTATCGATAACTTAAGAAACTATCGAAATAAATATCACTTATATGCTGCCTGATGTAGCAAAAAATACTTCATTCCAGACTGCTAAGTTTTTAAACGGACTGGAAGTCGAATCTTTCTTCCACTCCTTGTTTGCTGAATTGATGGCCAATTTTGCTCTAATGGCGGTTCTGATTCCGTTGGTTGTTCCTCTTCTGTCCGTCGCTGTGTGAGTGCTGCGTCTGTTGTCGCCATATAAGCTGGTTTGAGTCTATCAATAGAAATGCATACGGATTTACCGTTTACAATGGTAAAATTTTTGTCAGTTTTGCCCTGCACTGCATACGGGCCGTCATACGGAGGTATTTGTGCCGGTTTAACTTCGTTGCGTCAAAAACGTATGATATGTAGACAAATTTGGATGAACAAACATTTTGATCTTATTGTGGTGAGCCGTGTCTGTAGGGCTGATATTTTGCATGAAAGAGCGTAGCTGTTTCACGAATTCGGTTTACGGTGTGCAAGAGGAAGTTCCAAAAATTTCTCTAGATAAACGTAAAGTTGTGCCGTAGACTAGTTCCTCCGGTAAGGCCTTTATATCTGGTTTCGGTGTGCATCGTAAGCATAATAATTTTAGCGGCAATTGTTGGGACCAGTTACTCGACTGGGAGCACATAATGACGGATTTTAATGTTCTATGGAACCTTTCGATGGCGCCGTTTGATTGCGGGTGATAAGGACTGCTTCTGAGATGTATAATGCCAAGTATTTCCGAAAGTTCTTTAAATAAGTTGCTTTCAAACTGCGTGCCTTGGTCAGTGGTGATACGTGCTGGAACGCCAAAGTTTTGAATCCATCCTTCTATTAACGCAAACGCGACCATCTCTGCATTTAAGTGGAATCGCTCTGGCCAACGCGAAAAGCGATCTATAACGGTGAGACAATACCTGTAAATATTTGAAGGTGGCAGTGGACCAAAAAAATCAATGTTTATGTGCTCGAACCTCTGTGAGGGAGGACAATATCGTGTAAGTGGAGCCTTGGTATGCCTACTCACCTTACAACGTTGACACTGAAGACATTTTTGGACATAAGTTGCAATATGTTTGTCTATATTTGGCCAGACAAATCGTTGCTTAACGATTTGAGAAGTGGCATGTTTTCCTCCATTCTCGACATGATGCTGGAACAAATGGTCTAATATTGGGGCCTGATGTATCACAAACTATAGAATTCCGCATTTGCGGAAATACAACGTCTTTTAAGTTCAACGAGGTTTCGTTCGATGAGCGTCAGGACTTTAGTTTATCGCATTGTTGCTGTTGTTGCGCCAAATATTCGTAGTCCACGTCATTGTACTTCGTATGTAAAGCATTTATTCGTGAAAGCGTATCTGCGGTAACGTTATTATCTCCCGGTAAGTGAACAAAATTGGTTGAAATTTGACTTACAAAATCCAGGTGACGTATTTGCCTGGGTGAAGCCTTGTTCAGCTTTTGGTGGAATGCATATATCAGTGGCTTGTGGTCAGTTTCTATTTTAAAATCTCTCCCTTCCAATAAATGGCGGAAGTGTTTAATTGCCAAATAGACTGCCAGCAGCTCCCATCATCATAGGTACTGTATTTGCGTTGACTATTGCTCAAACGCTTCGTAAAAAATGGTAGTGGTTGTGTTACATTGTTAACAATTTGATGAACTACCGCGCCAACCGCCGTCGCTGGCGTCTGTACATAGGATAAGTTCAGCGACCTGTACTGGGTACGCCAATGCCACAGCGTTTGCTAATTCTCTCTTGCTTTCTTCAAAGTGTCTTCTGGTTTCATCCGACCATTTAATTGGTGTCTTATCACGCTTTTTGTTGCCTGGAATTAAGTCCAAAAGGGGTTGTTGATACACTAGAGCGTGTGGGATGAATCTGCGATAGAAGTTTATTATTGCAAGAAATCTCTTAAAATCTGGCAAGGGTTTTATACCATCGTCATTTAAGTTGAAAAGTGTTGGGGCCATGAAACATACATTTTTCGCCGCTTGCGCTTTAGCTGTTATCTTCGTACTATTGTCGATAATTGCTTGACGTTTCACATCGACGAGAATGTTTAAGTTATATAAAAAAATCTGCACCAAGAATATCATATGTGGCGTCAGCTAACACAAATGTCCGCGTAAATGTGCGACGAAGTCCTAAGTCCAGGTTCAGGCGGGAATATCCATATGAATCCATCGGAGTGTTATTTGCAGTAAACAGTGTAGGTGAATTTTTGTTTGCGCGTGTGCATTTTTTATATTCGCAGGATTGTATTTAATAATTGATACCTCTGCACCCCTATCAACTAAGAACCGACGTTGGGAAATCCTGCCGGTTACGAGGACTCGTTGTTTATTGGCTTGCTGGTTTTTGTTTACTGGCGAATTAATTTTAGTGGATGTCGCGTTCTCGCCACTGTGTGGTGCGGTTGCGGCGACCGAACGAGCGCTCGCCGCCGAACCTAGTATTTTTTGGAGTGAAGTTATATGGCTCGTCGCATTTTGTTGCATTTTCTGCAAAGTGCGCGTGGTACCAACAGATTTTATTGTCGCCACTTTGTATGCGTTTTCCTCTTGATGAGACCGCGCGAGAGCGACTACGACTGCGTCCATTACGCTCGAGTGTTGCTTCTATGCGCTTAAGTGAGCGTTCTATATTTGCGACTCTATCTTCTAGGTTAGAGGCTCCGCTTGTAGTAGTGGCTTGTATGCTGTACAACTTATCAATGCTCTTATCGGTAACGCTGCAGGTAGCTGTACGTTCCGCTGCGCTTACCCGTGTCACATCTATGACTTCGTCGGCTATGGCGGCTAACGCCTCTGTGGTATCATCTGGTTGCTTTTGGAGAAGACAGCGAGAATACCTCGTGTGTCCACCGGTAGACGTTGGATCTAAAAATCTGTTATTCATTTTTGATAGTTTGTGACGTCGGTACGTTGTAACCGTGACAACAGGTGACTAGGTCTACTATCGCCCAATTGAATCCCAGATATTAGTTCCTTTAACCGCGCCATTGATGAACTGGAAAACTTTGCAAGAACCGTTTGCCGGAGAGTCTCATATTTATTTTCTCCCGGAGGGTGTTGAATAATCGGTGGGCATAATGAGTTGCTGATTTAGCAAAAATGCTGCCGTATTGCTCTTTTGTGACTAGTGTTATAGGTGGGTTTGTTGACTGCCCTGCACTTCTGAGTAGGATAAATTTTAATGTTCCGGCGAGAAGTCTTAGACGTGTGGATCTCTTCTGTATACTAAGGGTTAAATGTAATTATACTC